TATATATATATATATATATATATTTACATTTTATTGAATTAATTTTATTGTTTAAATTTTAAAATATATAAAATTAAAAAACTTTCAAATTAAATAAGCACATTTTTGACTGTATTATTGGGTTTCACTGAATATCATCGACATTTATACTCTTCTTGTGTGTTTACTGTAGGTGCAGTGAATCTCAAAGCCTTTTACATTAAATTCATGAATTAATTATATACATTATTTCCATGTTGTTGACCATGGGAGCTTTGAGACTCTTGCTCATTCAAGTTACAACTCACTGTTTTTGTCAGCCAGAAGAGGTGAAGAACAGAGATCTTGATTTAAACCTTCTTTACCCTTTACAATTTCAAAAAAGATTCCAATATCAATCTGTCTTTACAATTCAGTAAAGCATCCATAATACCAGACTATAACATTAGATCAAATTAAAGTCTTATAAAATCATCTGTCCCATAAAGTAATTTATGCACTGCAGGTAAAAAACAAAAAAAGTATACTAAAATAGTCAAATGCAACTGGCAGAATAGAAGAAAGAAGGTCAGAGAGTGAAGGAGACAGAGATGGAGTGTGATAAAGAGGGTGGGAGCGAGGGAATGGAAAGAGTGTAAGATAGACAAAAAGAAGGAAAGAGAGATGAATGGTAAAGCTAATTAGCAGGGCCTCTGACAGCCCTGGCGAGCATATTAATGGTTTTTATCTGAAATATCACAAGTGGCAGCAAGAGTCGCAGCCTTCAGGCATCCCCTGCACTCTTTCCACCCGTCTGCCCTCCAGTATGTTGTTTGACTCACTCTGTGGCGACATATGAGTATACATGCATATCTGAGCACTGAAGTCTGTTATTTCATCAAAAACACAACCTTTTTAAATATAGTAAACAAAGTCTGTGTGCGTGTTCCTCAGCTTTTGTGTATAAATTGCCCATTACCCATTCTTAGAAGAACATCACACCTCGGGCGATTGCTTTTGCAATCAAGATGAAACTGGAGTGTACAGGAAAAAAAGGAAAAGGCACCTCAGTGGGACTTTTATCATCCCAAAATCTCGTGGCACCGCATCAATCTTTGATGAGGCAGGCCGCTTATACGATCATCCATCCTGGGCTTCCCGTGGGCTGCGGCTAAGGTGCTGACAGATTTATCTCCTAAGACAGATGTACTTTACACTCCCACACCCCTCCAGCTTTTTAACTTTTCCATGGTTTTACTTTCCTTTTCTCTGGATTTTGGAGGTTAGCACCAGGTTTACCCAGGATACTGACTCATACGGGAATCTACCGGAGGCAGAGAAAACTGTTGTGAGGAAATTACATACTTCGTTTTAATGGAGTTAGAGGGTACTAGGGTCAATGACATGACATTAATGACATAGGGGGGATGACGCATGTTTGTAGGCCAAAACCCGGAAGCGAGTTAGCATTTTAGCACTTCCAGCGATAATCCAAAAGCCAATGGAAAAATCAAGGGAACCGGTTTTGTCAAGAGTACCAGTGTGATGCTAACTTATGGGTTGGCCTACAAAAATATCATCATGCAGCACACTACATTCATTAATGATATGTCTCTTGAAGGATAAGCACAATATTGTTTTCTGAATTAATGTTTTTTAAAACATGTCAATGTGATACAACTGTTCTGATAACAAAAACAATACTTCAACAAAACCACTTCACTGCTCATTATCTGAAAAGCTTT